ATATATACACATATATATTTCAGTCCAATTAGCCAAACTTTACTCTGCAGCTGGTTTCACAGAGATATTTAGATGCTTCATAGGTGTTTTCTATATTAAATAGGCCACAAAGGCAGTATTTTCTTCTTTAATGTTGACTATCAGTAATATCTATAGGAACAAAAGAAGTAAGCATGTCTATAAGACTTGAGCCTTTGTTATGTAAGTAAAGCGCTTTTAGTGTTTCTTGCTCAAATTTGGGATTTTTTTATCATATGTTTCTTTATATCGTCCATCAAAATGCACTGTCCCTGTTAAAAGCAACAGTCAGGTGTTTTCATAGACCCAGGAAGGCAAAAGATTGAACCAGCTGCCTGTCCCTTCAAGCTTTTCCTAGTTATGTATGACAAAATTAAAATCTATTTACTAAATATTAAAAAGTAACTGCCAAGTGTAACTAGCTAACAGAAGCAACTAACAAAGTTAAGATTACCTTAAGTATGTGTCTGGAACTGACATATAATACACAAATAAATAACCTACATTAAATAAAGACATATTTAGGGCCAATAAAATGTGTGTGTGTGTGTGTGTGTGTAAGGCATGCTACCTTTTGCTGCTACATCCTGTTTTACTTTTATCTTACATGGGTGTTGATTGAACAGCACTAAAGTGTTTTCAAGACATCGAGCTAAATCATTCTCAACGATTAAGCTAGTACGCTAAAAATACCATACAAAAGACTTTGCATTTAAAGCTAGTGGTTGATTCATGATGATCTGACATATGCTGTCATATTAAAGAGGAAGTTCATACAGAAATCGAATTGAAATATTTTTTTCTCTGGTGTCTAAAACCATAAATATTTGGATGAATATTGGGAACAGTTAGAGAGCTGCACACCACCACAGAAGATTTTAAATCAAGCATTGAACATGTGACCCGAGTGCAGACTTCCATTTGAGGGATTTTAAGTATTAAGTTTAAGTATTGTATTACCTGTTTCGCACACATTGTTCTACAAAGCCCCTGATTTTAGAGGCTCAAAAGTAACTGAATAAGAAAAATTTAAAAATAAGGATTAATTAAACTACTTTTACTGGAAACCTTGAAGTCTAGAACCAATGGACATTACCAAATGCCTACTGCAGGCTAAAAAGTATGATTGTGATCAGATGAGGTCTGTTCCCTTGTTATTCCATGATAAATACAGCTGATAAAAGCCCCTGAAAGGATTGCATTTAATTCTCAATGAGGTCCAAAGCTGTGTTGATGCAAGTGAAGGAAGCTATCATTAGCCTGAAAAAGCAAAATAAATCAGAGATGTGTTTTAATATTTGGATGAAAACTGACATCATCAAATGCTGCATTTACTCCTTTAGATGCTCTGCCAGGACTTTACTGTTGCTCCTTCAGTTGCTCTTTGTGGGTCTTTCTGCCACCATTTTTATATTTAATAACTAAAAACATGTCAGGTGACTGTCTTAGCCATTGAAGAATATCACATTTCTTTACCTTGAGAAACTCTTGGGCAGCTTTTGCCCTGTACTTTGACTCACTATCCATTTTCAAATTGAATGGTTCTCAGATCAGTTTCGAACTTTTGGCTGAACCTGAACCTCAGCGGAGATCAATGCCTCGCACACTTTAGAACTAATTCTGCCACTTCTATCAGCAATCACAATATTAATAAACACTAGAGGTCCAGTTGTGTTGGCAGCCACACATGTCCGTACCATTACATGCCTTCACCATGTTTGACGGATGATGTGGTATGGTATGTTTCTGTCTCCATCATTCTGGTTATTCTTTGCAATATTTCTTCAGAACTGTGCAGGCTCCTTTAGATCATTTCTGGTGTAATCTGGCCTTCTTGTTCTTGTGTATAACAAGCAGTTTGAACTTTGTTGTAAACCCTATTTTCATTCATGAAGGTGTCTCTCGATTGTGCACTTTAGAAATACTTAATTAGTGGTTGATTAATATTTCAGTTTTCTTTGGACCTCATAATGAGAATTCCAGTGAGCAGCTACCAAATGCAAGCTTGGTACTTGGAATCAGCAACAAATATTTTATCTGTTTACTTTGTCATGAAATAACGAAGATAACAGCATCACCATAGAGGTGCCTGTCAGTCAGTTGTCCAATTACTTTTTAGCCTCTGGAAACTGAGGACTATGTACAAAAATAGCTGTTATTCCAATTTGTTTGTTAAAGCTGAAGGCCTGCACTTCAACCATGTCTTGATTTCTTGATCTAAAATCAGTGAGGAGGCGTCCAGAGTCCAAATTTCATTCATTTGGAATAATTCAGCAGTGACTCAGTGAAAATAACAAAAAAAAAAAATCCAGTTTCTGTTAGGAACAATTTTCTTTCTACTGACCTACACCCATCAATCTTTTCAATGTGACTACAAAGAAAGCGACTATTATCCCCCTGAGCTGAGCTGCAATATCTCTTTTAGTAATAAAGTACTAAATAGTTCCCTTTAATTGGATTTGAGGATGAACTGTCTTCAAGAAATCACAACATCTTAACTCTGGTCCAAGATGTCATGATAACTAAAGATACACTTAAACACTTTTAAATACACTTAAAAATTACACTCTTTGTGTAAGTCATCACTGATGAGCGGATCACTCCCAGTAGATCGATCCATTTAGTTTGTTTAGGAAAAAAGCTCTCAGCTTACTCATAATTTCTATAAAACTGGACCTACATAAGACAGTTAAACAGTTCTGTGTGACATGCGATTTTAGGTGTCTATTAAAGAAGTAAAGTCTGATGTAAAGCAAATATCAAAGTGTATCTCTGTAAAACCAGCATATAAGGTGGTGATGCATAGCCCTAAGCAGATTTAAAAAAAACTTTTTCCATATGAGATATTAAGTTGATTAAGTTACACAAAATCAACCAGCTGACAAGCTGACATGGTCCAAAAGCCTCTCAAACATCTTAGTCAGTTTATTGCTTTGACCAGCAACCATTTCAAAAATTTCAATAACCCTGCACAGGATTTGTTTTAAATATAGAGAACAATATAAAGGTTCATCATGCCAGCCATCATCAGCCTACTTCAGCTTTGGGAATGTCTCAAATCCGGTCAATTTCTTTGCTGTCCTTTTCAACGTGTTCTGTCTATTTGTAGAAGGAAAGGTACACACCAACAAGAACATTCTCAGATCATAGCCCAACAATGCAAATGACCCCTTCCCCAAGTCCCAGAAAAAAACCATACCGCTTTCAAAATGTGCATAAAAGTCAGCATGAAGTGACAGCTTAAACCAAAACATTTTGCACAGTTTAATCAGTACAATTGCAAAGTGCTTAATTGTTGTTTGTCTTAAAGGAGAAATTGCATGGTTGTTTGAAAATCTCTGCTCTACTTTCTCCCTCCGACACTTGTGCTCTGATAGAAAATCCTTGTTGTCTAGAAAATCCAGTCTCATTTCTGATGTCAAGAGGCAGGAGGATAAGAAACAACAGTGTGTGTGTACCTGTGTTTTTGTGTTTGCATGTGTTGTGTGACATGAGATGAAAAGTGAAGTGTATTGTACTGTATATCATGCATGCATTTTTATACTACGTTAGCTATATGTAGATACAAACACAACAGTCTGCTTGTATTTGATTCATGCCGTTAGCAGTCGTCATCCTCAAAGTGTGTTTTCTGCAGAACCTTTACATGACGTTCATAGATCTTGAGGGCGGGGCCAAGTCTGATTGACAGGCCAGTCAAAACATCATTACGCTGCATGAGGAGAAGTGACTTTCCATCGATTTCCTAATGAAGAGAGCAAAACAGCGCATGCAGGTGCATGTTGATTACAAGTGTTTTATGTGAAGCGCAAGCCATTGAGCTTCTGTATGGTGCACTCTAGTGGCAACTAAGGAGGATCACAGCCTTACCTGGGTCCTGAACGCAGCAGCCTGCTCAGGGAAACCCGCTGCTGTGAAATAACTGACAACATCTGACACTGTCCAGTTTACTGGGCTCCCATTGACGCCCTCAGACTTCATAAGCCTGCAAAAATAACAAAGTTGGTCAAACAGAAAACATGCAGGAGGAGACGTTGAAACAGTCAATTTTAACAGTTACAGTGCTGCCAGATTTATTTTTCCTCTCTTTTGTAAATTCTATAGTGCATAGCATGACTGCAGAAAAACTATCAATGCTTTTTCATTTCATAAAACTGGTAGAGAGCTGGGGCCAGAGAAAAAACCTATTAGAGTTTGGTGCTGATCTGGATCACTTTGTCTAACCTTGCAGAAGTCATTCCCCTCTAGTATGCTATGCATTGACTTCCTGTGTTTCAGTGATTACTTTTGTGTCACAGTTGGTGTAATCATGTCTCACTTTATATTAAGTGTATAATGTAATCAGGGAAGAGCTTATATTGCACTACACAATATCCTGTGATTAAGTGCTTGGTAGTGATTAGTTGGATATTAAGGTTGAAATTAAACTCACACAACTGTTAAAATATTATAACTTTTTTGTGTGCTGTCTGCAGATTGAAGCTAAGATCTCACAGGTTAAGTACAATTGTTTTGTTTTGGTCACATCCATATTGGCTGAAAAGAGTCCATCAAATATGGGCAAATATCAAATATGACACTAAACAAATGCAGGATGTTCTTCACATGAAAAATAATGTGAAAATGAAAGTAGACCGTCCTTGAGTTTCAGGGTTTTTATATATTATAATAAATGTCACCTTGTAGAACCACCTCTGCCACATCACTGTCAAACAATTTTAGCCAGCTCTTCTTTACAACGTTGCTTCAGTTCAATGAGGGGAGTTGTTTATGCACAGCTCTCTTTAGGTCCCACCACAGCATTTCAATCAGGTTGAGGTCTAGACTTTCAGTGGGCAATTGGAACACCTTCCTTTTCTGTTTTTAGCCATTTTTTGTAGATTTGTTGCTGTTCTCATTGATCATTGTTCTGTTGCAAGATTCAATTTGGGACAATCTGTCAAACAGAAAGTCTCATGTTTCACTCAAGAATATTTTGGTATACAGCGGAGTTTGTGCTCAACTCAATGACTGACAGATGCCCAGGTCCTGTGGCTGCAAACCAAGCCCAATTCATCACCCCTCGACCACCGTACTGACAGCTGGTCTGAGTTGTTTGTGTTCATACGCTGTTTGGTTTTTTCTAAATGTGACACTGAACATTATGGCAAAACATCTCCAGTTTAGATTCGTCATTTTTCCAGATGCAACTTTGCAAACCTAAGTTGCGCTGCCATGTCCTCTTTTAGCAAGAAGAGGCTTTCTCCTGACGACCCTTCCAAAAAATCCACGCATGTCAGTCTTGTTCTAATTGACTTGTAATGAATTTAACATTAAACATGCTGACTGAGGCCTGTAAAATGTGAGACGGAGTTCTTGGGTTTTTTGCAATTTCTCTAAGCATTGAAGGGTCTAAGCATGGAAGGAATTTACTGGTACATCTACACTGACAGACAAATAGATATTTTATGATCCTGCAAAGGAAATTGCTGTGTTACAGCAGCAAGAAAAAGAAAAATAGTATATTACACAATAAAAACAACATTTTTATTGTGAAAAATTTTTAAGGAAAATACCAGAGTCCCATAGTGAAGGTCTTATAATGAGAGGTAGTGCAAAAAATATTATGTAGAGAACAGTAAAAAGCAAAAAAAAACCCTAAAAATATAAAACTAAGATTGTGCAAAAGTTGACTGCAAATAGCATTAATAAATAATATGTACACAACAAGAAAAAGCAGAAACAAGCTGGGAAGATGGATGGCTGTCTTGAATGTTTTCCACTTGTGAATAATCCTTCTCAGTGCAGAATGATGGACTTTAAAATGTTTGGAAATGGTCTTATAACCCTTTCTGTATTGATGGGCAGGAGCAATTGCTTCACCAAGATCATTGCTGCTGTGTTTCTTCTTTTGCACTGTGTTAACACACACCTGAATGCTCCAGACCAGCAAACTGCTAAAAATCTGCTTTTATAGAGGAAGTCACGCCTTCTGATGATTAGTTAATCAAGTGCATTTGGCTGCCTCTTAATTCCTATCAAGGTTTACTTAGTTTTTCACACACTGCTTCTGTATTTAGTTATAAATTATAAATAATAACACAGTATAATATGTCATGTTTTGTAGCTCATCTGACGTTCTAATTTTAGAACCTGCTTTTAGAACCAGGTGTCTTTTTAAGGGATCCTGATATTTTAAACCTTGCAATAGAATCAGGGCGTACTTTCTTCATCACATGACCTTATCTGAAGAAAAAAAAGCCTCCAAAACAAACAAGAAGTAAATCATCCGGCAGAATTGGCTCAGCAGAGCATCACCAAGAAAAAAAATATGTGTTAATGTCTATCTAAAATTGATCAAAATATGAAATCTCAATATGGATCTCAATTTTATTTATTCAATTTTAATCAGTCAAATGTTACAATGCAAACTGGTCTGTGCAGGACTGCAGTGAGAAATCTGTTGCAGAGTTATTAAAGTTTTGTAATTCATCTTTTTTTTTTTTATCTAAACAGTTTTTAGTTTTAGGAATAGTTTTCTTGTTTGAGTTTGATTGTTTTTTATTGTTTTGAAGAAAATGACAGCATACAGAGAAGGACAACACATCACTCCAAAGTATTTCAAGAAACTGCAAGACAAGACAGAGCCTGTAAAGAGAATAATGGGAGGTGTAAATGAGAGTGGGTGGGTTTTAGTTTCAGTCTGTTTTCTTTTTTTTTTTTTTACTTGGCGGGACAGTGCAGAGAGTGGGCAGGAAAACTCAGAAAAGACAGAAAATGTTTGCGTTGAAAGACAGTTTGATGAACATCTGAATTCTGAATTCTTTGTTTTACTAGCATAAAAGCAATTTTTTTACAAGGGAGCAAATACCCAAAAAGCAAAGCAGAAATAAAATCTGTTTACTGCACCAAATTGATATTTTTAACATATATATTGGTATGTATCATCAGAATTTCACACAAAGAAGCTGTTGACTTTTGTTCATAGTTTTCTAACGCTTGTGTGCATGCATCAGTATCTGCAACATCTCTATTGTACTCACACTCCACTGCTAATGGTTATCCCTCGTTCTTCAGATCGGCTGGAGTCTCTCGGGGAGGCTGTGGGTGTTAGCAGGCAGGACGACACACCGACCACTGTCTTGCACTCCAAATCTACGAAGGAGGCAAGTATGATTCCTTGTCGTGAAACCCGAACATGCACTCAGTTTGAGATTATCAATGAAACGAAACTCACTGTTAAAGTCTGAGGAGCTGTGGTTTATTTCATCATGCTGTGTCTGATTCTGTGCATGGAGAGGAAAGAAAGACGGGGGTTAAATTAAATGCAAAGAGGGAGTGTCAGAGCAATACAGAGAGAGTCATATGACCTCTGCCTAAAATGAAGGACAAGAGGAGCTAGCAGCATGAAGATGCATCATGACAAAACCACAGTGGGACATTGAGACCATCTGCTGTGGGAGTAAAAATGATGATGTGCAAAGGTATGAAGTGGACTGGTAGGGGGGGCGAAGTTTGACAAAGCTGATGAGTCACCCTGGTGGAGAACTGAAGTCTGCCTTAGACAGCTTTTGTAATAGGATTTTTCTGCCCGACTTTTGAAAGCATAGAAAAGCCTCCTGGAGATAAATGGATGCCTCCACATACTGAACCTCTCATTACTTTAACCGGCAAAACTCTGTAATTGCATTTGAAATCACTTCTCTGTTGACATTGTCATTACACAATACATATACACAATACATAAGAAGTGCTTGGATAATAAGTGCTATGTTGAGCATTGCATGGTATATGTTCAAAAAAAGGTATATACACACATTATGCAAACCACATTTGTGCTGTCATGCTGGAATTGATTAACTGATTTTTTTGTTCAGGAATGCAAGTGAATAGCTGTATTTTGGCATATTTAATTTAAAAAATGATAATTTTCTTTAGTATTTTTTCTGCTTTTTGTAAAACAGTAAATTTTAAAATTTGTGGATAACAACAATAATTAAAAATTCAGTTAAAGAGCACGCACACAGTGGTGATTAACCAGTTATAGAAACATAAAAAAAGATTTTGATAGTTACAAATACCTTTAATAAACCTTACACTGGGTGGTGGTCTAACACATTTTGAAGCAGTGTATATCAACATTCATATACCATATATATACCACTGTTACCTAATAAAGTCCTTATCGGGTACTAATTATTTATTTTAATCATTTTCATATAAAATGACCAGCATGCACACGGCTTCAGTGTTTGGGTATGTTGTTGGAGAAATGTTAAGAGTGTGTGATAAACTGCTGTTTACTCTGATTACATTTTCTAGATCAGTGTGGATCGTAGTTAACAAATAATTACGAAACAAGAGTAATCTGCCTGCTACATTTTCTTATAATTTATTTGAACCTCTTGAAAAATGTAAAGTGTTGCTAGAGGCTTCTTTTCTGTCATTCAGAACTCTTACCAGGAATACTCATTTAAAAGCACTATTTTGCGTCAGTTAAAAAACATGATAAAGGTATAACTCCCTCACCCAATCAGAACAACAGAACTAATGAAAGGGTCAGAGAGATGTCAGTCTAGCTCACTCTGTACTTACACCCTTTTTAATATTTTGTTCCTCCTTAATAACCCATTAATCAGCATCAGGCCCTTAATCACATATTGGGTATATCCTTTAAGTACAGTGTAAGACATTTCCTGATTGTATAATTATTATTATTAAGTGTGACAAAGCTTGGCCATTCAACATTAATCATAACGTAATATTTGCTTTTCCAATGAAAGGGAGAACTTGCACTTTTGAGATTTTACTGTTGCAGAGAGCAAAACACTGACTTCTGTGTCAAAAATTGACACAGCCTTCATTTCAAGGATAATCACTCCCATTCAGAGATGGTTTTCTGATTGTAACCCAGTGACCAAACAGCAGTTTTAGTTAAAGAGGCCACAGTTTGCAACCATAAAGTGACTCATCAGATCAGGAACCCAACTAGAAGCAGGTTTGTTGCTTTTTCAACACTAAGAGCAACAATTTGTCCTCTAGGTTCAGTTAACACAGACTATAATGGCCTGACATGTTTGATGGAGAACAGTAATGATGATTCTTGGAACATGCCATTGTGTACCTGAGATTTATTTTTAAAACAACTCATCAGATTTGGCTCAGTGGAATTTTGTTTTTGGAAATCCAGCATGTGTCGCTTGGAACATCTTGGAATGATCTACAAGAATGTTGGAAGTGGTGCAGGACTGCCCAAGGAAGTTATCTTAAAATCAGGTTTAATTTTTTACATTTTTATACAAGTTTTGTAACTTCACAATCATGAGTTGTAGTTACATTGTGACAGTTAGACCTATAAACCCTACAAAAC